AGAGAGATAGAGAGTTAGAAATATCGATGAGAGAGAAACATCGATTAGCTGCCTCCTGCACATCTCCTACTGGGGATGTGCCCGCAACCCAGGTACATACCCTTGACCGGAATCGAACCCGGGACCTTTCAGTCCGCAGGCCGACGCTCTATCCACTGAGCCAAACCGGTTTCGGCAATAAAATATATTTTTAAAAAAAGATCCCCCTGGAAAACAGCAGTGCCTCAAACAGTTACACAACCACTACAGCCAAGCAATCTCCCCCTTCGGTGCCCACCCAAGAGAACTGAAAGGTGGGTCCACACAAATACTAGTGCACACGTGTCCATGGCAGTGAATTCACAGCAGTGGCATCCACTGCCACCCTTTGGGCCTCACCCTGGAGCCCCTCCTGGGAGAAACCTGCCCTCGCCTGCTGCTGGGCTCCCTGCAGCCGCCTCAAAAGTGCAACCTCGCCCTGCCACGTGGCTCAGTGGCTGAGCATTGACCTGTGAACCAGGAGGTCATGGTTTGATTCCCGGACAGGGTACATGCCCCGGGTTGCGGGCTTGGTCCCCAGTAGGGGACATGCAAGAGGAAGCTGATCAATGATTCTCTCTTATCATTGATGTTTCTCTCTCTCTCTAAAATAAATAATAATAAAAAAAGAATCCAGGCAGGACTCTTACAATTTCTTTATTACAATTTATTGGTCCTCTGAGCTGTGTCCGGTACCCTCTCTGCCCCTCCCCATATCCTGCAAGGGAGTGTCCTGCGAACGAAGGAGCCAGGGTCACCGTGGAGCATCAGGTCTGTGGAGGGGCCGACCAGCGGCCGATGATCTTCCTGATCCAGGACATGTAGGGGGCCACGGCGGTGGCCACGGGGGGCTTGAAGATGTCAGTGCAGGCTCTGGAGCTGAAGGACAGGATTCCAGCCACCCGGCCTTTGTTGCACACCACGGGCCCGCCTGAGTCCCCCTGCCAGACCCACAGGACACAGGTTACATTTGTTGTCGCTTGGACAAAGCATGATTGTTCCTGAGGGTGGGAGACTGACTGTGTACCCTGGTCCCACATGTCACTACATGCATCTTACTCCCCCACCCCACCTCTTCCTTCCTTCTTTCCTTCCTTCCTTCCTTCCTTCCTTCCTTCCTTCCTTCCTGTCTTATACACCAAAAGTTTGTAGGTTCAGTTCTCAGTCAGGGAACATACCTAGGTTGTACATGTACAGGAGGGAACCAATTGATCTCTCTGTCTCCCTCCTCGGTCCCTCCCTCCTTCCCTTCCTTCCTTCCTCCCTCCCTTCCTGTTCTTTTAACACTCTTTGCTTCTTCTTCCCACCCCAGGACCTTTGCACGTGCTATAATTATCTTTGGTGCTAGAGCTCAAAGCACATCCCTGCTGCTCATTGACTATGTGACCATGGGCAAATTATTAAACTTCTCTGTGCCTCAGTTTTTGTATCTGAGAAATAGTAATGCTAGTACCAATCTCCAGAATTCTCCAGAGAATGGACAGAGCTGGGGCCCAGGTCCCCCCTGGCCGAGGCTTCTGCCCTCCCCTCAGGCCAGGCTGCCCGCCTCCCTGCTGCTGCCCCTCACCTTGCAGGGGGCCTGATCCTTGGGCTTGGCCTCCAGGCAGATCAAGTTGTGGGTGATGCTGCCTTTCCAGAAGCGGCTGTTGTTGCACATCCTGGCGTCCAGCACATGCATGTCCAGCTCCCGCAGCGCTCCTGCCAGCTGCCCACTCTGTTGGGTCAGCCCCCAGCCTGCCACACTGCACCTTGCTCCTGTTGCCACTGCCTGGCGCCCTCGGGGCAAGGCCAGGGGCCGAACAGTCCTGCTGCGACTCACCTTCGAGTCCAGCTACAGGTGACAGAAAGAGACAGGTGAGTGAGAGACAGCGGGGCAGCGGCAGCGCGAGAGGGGACCTGGGTGTCGTTGTCACTCCTCCCGCCAGGCCCCGCACCTGAAGCAGCGCGAGGTCGTTGTCCAGTTTGGGGGCCGGCTTGTACTTGGGGTGCAGGACTGCTGCCTTGACTCGGAAGGTGAGGCCAGGGTCTCTGAGCTTGTGGAGCCCCAGCACCAGCCTCAGCTGTTGGGTCCTGTGGGCGGCAGGATCAGGGTACGGGCTGCCATCCTGCAGCCTCCGGACCCCCCCACGTACCCTGAGCCTTGCTTCCAGGGTCCATCTAGGCTGAGTTCAAGGCCAAGGGGTCCTCGATCCTGCCCCTCCCCCTGCTCCCTTACCAGGCCTCTCTCTGCCTGGTCCTTGCCCTGCTCCTTCTCAACTGCCTCCTCTCCACCTTCTCCAGGAAGCTATCCCTGCTGCCACCCCTGCCCCAGACTCCAGTTCATTCCTGACCAGAGGTGGGCGCTGTGTGTCCAAAAATGATGACCTTCAGTGTGGCGCTCCCCTCAAGGGGCTCCAGCCCCATCCAGTGCATACGCTATACCTCAACCACAGTGATTTGTCTACGGCTGGCAAAGACCTAGGTAGGCTCATCAATATCGATCCTCATAACTTTGCCCCAACTATAGAGAAACAAACTTTCCACAGGATCTAAGGGGGCCCATCCTTGCCACCTTGTGAGAACCTTCCTGATTATATGGCCGAGGGACACAACAGAAGAGCTGAGGGGCAGGCTCCTGACTAGCTCGTGCAAGCACCTGGATCCAGCTGTTCCTGAAGCCTTATGTCCTCCTAGACTTTTCAGTTACACGAGCCAATAGATCCCCTTTGGTTACTTTGACCAGTTTGATCTGGGATCTTTATTAGCGGCTAGTCCAGAGGTAGGGCAGCTCCAAGATTGATTTATTTGGTGGCTTCCTGGGTTGGTTCTGCCACTCTCACAGATCAGCTTTATCCCCATGGCCACAGTGGGAGACACATTCCTGGGTGTCACAAGAGGCCTAACTCTGCCCACTTGGAAGGTGCTTTGTGGTAGCAAGTAACGCTTCCCTAGGAATCCTGCAGCCTAATGTCACTGACACATGCCTCAGGCCCATGTCACGTACACACGCCACAGCAATCACGGGAGAGGGAAAGGGAACACCCCATGACCCTATAATTGGCTTAAATCTGTCAGGACCCACTCCCTAGTGAGAATAGGAACCACGAGATAGAGTCAGGGATGCCTGGGGTGACAGAGGGCTGGGCAGGTCAGGGTCACTCACGGCTGAACCACGCAGTGGGCAGCTGTCAACACCCACCGCGGGTGTACGAGGACTCCCCCACAGAAGTGGGTGCCGGCTTTCTGCAGCGAGACCATGTATGGCCGGGAGTGGGGGGCAGCCTCATGACCACCGATGATGTGGGTCTTAAATGCGACACTTCCTGGGGAGAGGAACAGAGTGCCAGGTTAGGGCTGGGTGCCCCATGCCCACCATGACCCTTCCACCCCAAGCCCGAGAAGCCTGGACCCTAACACAGCCCCCTCTGTTACCCGAGACATTCAGATTGACAGGTAGGGCTGCCCTTGATCCCTCCTCATCCTTCACCCCCACATCCTGGTTACCAGCAGGTGACCATCTGGCATTCACATCCCATCCCTGGGCACCACAGGGGCTCCCCTGGGCGCCACAGAGTGGCAGCCTATTGCAGCAGCTGGAGGAGCTGTTTAAAGTGGAGAAACTAGCCCTAGCCAGTTTGGCTCAGTGGATAGAGCGTCGGCCTGCGGACTGAAGGGTCCTGGGTTTGATTCCCGGTCAGGGCACATGCCCGGGTTGCACATGCCAGGGGGCCGTGCAGGAAGCAGCCAATCAATGATTCTCTCTCATCACTGATGTTTCTATCTCTATCTCCCTCTCCCTTCCTCTCTGAATCAATAAAAATATATTAAAAATAAATAAATAAAGTGGAGAAACTAGACCCTCACATATAAAATGGTGTAGCCACTGTGGATACAATCTGGCAGCTTCTCAAAGGTTAAAAGTGTTACCACCCGACCCAGAAACTCCCCTCCAAGAGAAATGACAACATATATCCACACAAATCTTGTTCATACACATTCACGGCAGTGGGGCTCACGCATTGCGAAAAAGCGGGAACAGTCTAAATCTCCAGCATTAGGTGATGAATAACAATGGAGTGAAGCCCTGACACTCACTACAGTGTGGATGGACCTTGAACACATGATGCTCAGTGACAGACGCCAGACACCAAAGGCCACACAGTGTGACTCCATTTATGTCCAGAACAGGCACATACAGAGATCAGAAGGGGGTTGGTTAATGGATGCCAGGGGCTGTGAGAGGGAATGGGGAGTGGTTGCTAATGGGGATGGGGCTGCATTTTGGGGTGATGGAACGTTCTGGAACTAGATAAGGTGCTGGTTGCAAAACACTCTGAATGCACTAAAAACACTTGAATTATATCATTTAAAAGGGTGAATTGTATGACATGTGAATGATATCTCAATAAAGATGTTATAGGCCGGCCGGTGTGGCTCAGCAGTTGAGTGTTGACCCAGGAACCAGGAGGTCAGGGCTCAATTCCTGGCCCGGGCACATGCCCGTGTTGTGGGCTCGATCCCCAGTAGGGGAAGTGCAGGAGGCAGCCCATCAATGATGATCCTCTCTCATCATTGTTTCTATCTCTTCCCTCTCCCCCCTTCCTCTCTCTAAAAATCAATAAAAACATATTTTAAAAAAAACAAAATAAAAATGTTATAAAAATTGTTTTAAAATCAATCATGATTTTATTTTTTTTTGTTTTTATTGATTCCAGAGAGGAAGGGAGAGGGAGAGAGATAGAAACATCAATGATGAGAGAGAATCATTGATCGGTTGCCTCCTGCACGCCCCCTACTGAGGATCGAGCCCACAACCCGAGCATGTGCCCTTGGCTGGAATCGAACCCGTGACCCTTTAGTCGCAGGCCGACGCTCTATCCACTTGAGCCAAACCAGCTAGGGCCAATCATTAATTTTATAAGGTTGATAAAAAGTTTTAAAGTGGCCTGGCTGGTGTGGCTCAGTGGATGAGCGTCACCCTATGATCCAGGAGGTCATGGTTCAATTCCTGGTCAGGGCACATGCTTAGGTTGTGAGCTCGATCCCCAGTATAGGGTGTGCAGGAGGTAGCCAATCAATGATCCTCTGTCATCATAGATGCTTTTTTCTCTCTTTCCCTCTCTCTTCCTCTCTAAAATCAATAAAAAATATATTTTTAAAAGTTTTAAAATGTAAATCAGATCAAAATCTTCCTATGATTCCCCTTCATGCTTTAAACATCCAAACTCCCCATGACTCACAAGAGCCATATCAGCTAGTCCTGCCTCCTTCCCACACCTCCTCACTCCACTCCAGCCACACCACCTCCGGCAGCTCCTCCAGTGCGCTGCCTTCATTCCCACCTCAGGCTCCTTGCACACGCTGTTCTGGCAGCCTTTCCTCCAGACATTCCCAACTCTGGCTTCCTCCCTGGGTATCTGCTCGAAAGCCATCTCCTCAGACACCTGCGCCCCAACTTCCTTAACATAACCCTCCTCCCCTTCCTCTGCTCTGCTCTCTCCCTAGCACTCAGCCCTTCCTGCCAGTGTGTCGCACACAGACTTGCTCATTGACTGTCTACCCCAATAGTCCTTGGGGGCAGGCCCCGAGCCTGTCGTGTTTACAACAGGCCTGAACAGTATGTGCTCAGCAAATACTGATGGATGAACGACAAAATAGATAATGGGTGATGGATGGCTGACAACTGATGAATGGATGAATGGTAAATGGATGATGGATAGATGGGTGATAGGTGAATGGATGGCTGATGGCTGAATGACGGATGGCTGATAAATGAATGGAAGGAAGGAAGGGAGAAAGAGAGAGAAAGGATGATGGGTGGATGGATGATGGATGGCAGGAAGGAAGAATGGGAGAAGGAATGATGGAGAGCCCTGGCTGGTGTTGCTAAGTGGGTAGAGCACCCAGTTGGGATGCATGTGTGGGACGCAACCAATCCATGTGTTTCTCTCACATCGATGTTCCCTTCCTCCCTCTCTTTCTATCTTCTTACAACAGTCCCTTTAGCATTTCTTGCAGTGCTGGTTTGGTGGTAATGGAAAAAAAAAGATGGATGGATGTGTAGTAGAAGGAAGGGAGAGGGAGAAAGGATGATGGACGATAGATGGTAGGAAGGAAGAAAGTGAGAAAGAATGATGGATGGATGGAAGGAAGGGAGAGAGAGAAATGATGATGGGTGGGTGATTGAATACGTATCCCACTGGGTCCCCAATTCATCACAGTCATTCTCATCCAGCCCCGCTAGAATTCTGCGATGCCCATCTCCCACCACCCTCTATCTTAAGCTCCCGGGCATCGAGTCCTGGCCAAGCATATATGGTTTGGCGAGGCAGCTAGCAGGGGCTCAAATTCCAGCTTTGTCCTTCCAACCAGGCGATGCTGGGCAGGTTGCCTCACTCACTAGGTTGTAGTTTCGTGCTCTGCAACCCAGTATGTATATCAGGACCCTGCCTGCCGGGTGCTGCCAGGAAGCAAAAAGCCTGCATCTGCCCCACCTTCTGCGGTGCTCTGTGAATCCAGCGCCAGGGTGAGATGTGAGGAGCACAGGATATTTTCAGAGTCCCAGAGTCTCCCCATAATACAACTACAAGAGGAAATTAATGATTTTACTCTGGGGACATCTGGTGACTGTCAGCTTCACCAAGTGATCTAGACAATGGCACCAGGAAGCAGGCGCGAACCCTCTGTGATTCCTGCAGAAAATGCACAACCTGAACCCATCCTCAGGGACACAGCAGGCAGACCCACAGGCATCACAAATACCAGCATCACAAGACCCAGGGGGAAACGAAGAAACTGCCCGTAGTGGAGGAGGAGGAGGTCAGGTGGTCTGTTTCCATGAGGAACGCTATAGGGACTTTGGAGTAAGGTCTGTAGATGAGCTAATATGACTGCACGGTGTTGAGAAACGTGCCATGATTGTGGAGAGAACGTCCTTGCTCACAGAAAACACCCCATGGCATTTAAGAGTGAGAGGCCATGCACCTGAAACTTACTCTCTAGTGGTTTATAAAAATAACACATATATTTATTTTTTCTACACACACCCAGAGGCGGCTGATAAGGCAACCGCGGCAACATGTTTACAATTGAGAAATCTAGGAGGAGGAGATGGGAGTTACCTGTAGGATTCTAGTGACTTTTCTGTAAGATCAAAGTTAAGTCCAAATGAAAAAATCTGTAAGTGTCCGCTCTGATGTGACCTGACTTTTCTACCTCAGGCCCCGGCTCAGCCTGCCTCCTTTTTGGAGTGGCCGATCTCTCTTCCATCAGTCACCTTCTGGGGACAATGGACTTGTTTCCAATCTGTTGTGATGCCCACCCATGAA